CCTAGCTCGCTCTGCACGCGCGGCCGGCTCAGCTTTCTCCAGACCCACACAATAGCTAGTGACTAACTGCTCCGAAGTGGCATTAGCATTTCACAAGGAGGCCATTCAGACAACGGACGAATCTTGGCAAGATTTTTCCCGTTTTCTTTCCTCCCTCTCTTCCTTTTGCTTTCCGTAGATCTAGACATAGATTTTATTTATTTTTATATTTTTTTTTTCGGTTCGAGGCGTTCAGATAGATACTTGGTCTTACCTGCTCGGCGGCACATTTTGCATTTACAAAAACATACCTGCCGAAGTATAAATTTAGAAGTTTTCAAAAGCGTTTTTTAATTTTACTGATTCTTGGGGTATATTCCCTATTATTAAAAACTTAATAATGGAGGGCATTGAAGAGTTTGATTTTTATCTACGTAGTTACAGTGGGCTGGACCTTGGGATCTTCATTTTTTGTTTATTCTGAGATGTTTTAATTGCTTGAAAAAATACTTTTTAAAATAGTTTGTGGGTTTAGCAAGGCAATAATTGTAAAAAATTGCTCCCCCAAAATGGAGCTATCTCCTGAGTATTGTGAATGGAAAGGAAAGTCTTGGTACTAGTTTACTTTAAAGGAGCTGTGGTTTTCGCAGCATACTCTGCGTACACTGATTGACGTTGTTTGTATTAACGTGTTGAATAGTCAGTTACAGCAGGGGCCATCGAGCTGCTGAAATTTAGAGGATACATTGAGAAAATGTTCTGAGCCGCTTGTGACTGCTCGAGGTAGTTGCGGACACTCGAGTTGTCAGGGCTGTCGTGAGTAGGCAGTTTTTTAGTAGTTGAGAATGACTCTTAGGTGAGGTGATGGCTTAACCTGATTCTCATAGCTTTTGTGTGGTTTTGAATAGGATTCGCATAGCTTTTGTGTGCATGTGTTATGATTTAATATAAACTATTGATGACTACGGGGTTGTTTAGGCTTAAGAAAACAGAGAGGAGACTGTTTTGCATCCATGCCTAAAGTTCAAGTAGCGATTCCGGGTAGTTCAGTCAATCTTGGGCCAATCCCAAAGTGATTGATATTTGAAGTAAACTCCAAGGTTTACTACTTGCAATTAAGTTTTTAGATTTATACTTTTTTGGCGAAAATCTTCAGTATATTTCCATGTCTTCCTTGCTGTTTAAGAAAAATCAACTCTAAAAATACTGTCACAAAGATACGGCATGTTTTACCAAACTCGTTTTTTTCTCTCTTTTAAAAAGCCCACAAATTCCAAGTCACTAAAAATTGCTGTCCTTTTAACTTTGTCTTAGATTTTTGATCAAAGCAACTAATAGTGTTTGACTAAATAACGGGAGTGGCTAGTCGGTATAGGAATGTCATTTTGTTTTTCTGGTGAAAACACTAATGCAGATTTAGATTTAGACCTAATTTAATTTTAGAGAGGGTTCTCATTGGCTCAAATAGTAAAATGAAATATTCGTAGTTTTTCAGGTTTCTTAAATTGTCTTTGTTAGTGTGTTATTTATGAAGAGCCACATGCTTTGTACGAAGGTGGTTTTTCTTGCTTGAAGAGTTTTTTATCTCAACAGTCACCATGGCTTTACTCTGAAGATAGGTAAAAACTCTTAACTGGAACTTGGAGTTGATTCTTGTTCTCTTTTCTTTACTCAGAATAAAACTGCTGAGTGCAAGGCGCCCTTTAAAGTACTTGTTCTATCCATCAGTCCCTTTGCTGAGGTGTGTGAGAATATGGCTATGTTCATCTCACTGGAATTGCAGTTTTAGATAGCCTTAAAAAGATTTTGGTTGCCAGGTTTCTGAGCACATTAGTAGGTCATGAAATTTCTGTTACATGCAAAATCTCTTGTATATTCTTTTGTCTTAATTTAATTTCATAATTTATAATTTAAAGTTTTACTTTCTGTAGGCATCAAATTGAACTAACAAAAATTGCCTTAAAATTATCTGGTGTGTGAAAATGTAGTTTCAGTAGTTTATACTTGTACCTGGAAATGGTTTGTTGGCATATTAACCGATGAGCTGAACAGTATTTTAAGTGGAAAAATTCATGTGAAATTGGAATTTTCTAGACAATCTTTAGGAAAGAAATATACGTTTGTACTTGAGTTTGAAAATAAGTATTGATCAGCATTACTTGGAATACATTGATTGAAATTACATTGGAATAGAAGTCATCTTTGGTCCAGAAGAAAATAAGTTAAAAAAAGTAAAATTCATACATCTTTGTGTGTATATGTATATATGATTGAAAAAGGCAATTCTCAAGAACTGAGAATTTTGTCTTTGCTATTAAAAGAATGTGATGGATTATTATCTTGTCGAACACTTAAAATATTTTAAAAGTGAATGGAATTTGATAGGGTATTAAAATTGTTTTGAGGTCTGATTTAAGTTTATTCAGAGTTTATATTTTTTAACATTATAATTTTTTTTAAGATAAAGGATATTTTTCAAGTATTCATCAGAATTCTTTTAAATGAAGCCAAGTATTAAGCCAAAAAAGTATTTATTTTTTAAGATAGGCTGGCCTTGAACTAACTGTCCCTGTACTGAAGTTGACCTTGATTTTCTGATGTTTCTGCTCTCACTCCCAGAATGCTGGGATTACAGAGTGGTTTATGCAGTGCGAGGAAATGAACCAAGGAGATTTGTGCATGTTTGCTGAGCACTTCACAGATTGAGCTAGCCACATCTTCATTCCATCCACATTTTATATAGTAAGAGGTCTATGTTTTGGACAGTGTTCTCAGTTTTTTACTATGGGATTTCACTTAACCTCAAGGTGCAGCCTTACAGTCGGCTGGCCTGCCTCAACTTCCCTAGTGTTGGAATTATAGGCTCATTTCCTAACTCATGCATTTGAATTTGTTGGTTCTTTAGTTCTGCTTCCCAGTTGCCTCCTTAATTAGTCATGATTGCTCTTTTATTAGATCTTAAAGCAGATTATTAAAGTATTTTCACTAGACTTGGGATGCTTTGATTACATTATTAAAGTTATTTCTTTTTTCAGTTGAGTTAAAAGTTTTGCTAATTTAATAAAATGATGTAATTTTTTGCTTTTAAAAAAATAATCATTTTCTTTCCTTAACTGAGTGCATCTTACTAGGTATTTTTTTGTCAAGGTGAAAGATAAGAAGTTAGGAGATACGGTTTGTTGTCTGAAACCTGGTGATAGATTGCAGGTGATATGGGAAAACTAATTTCTCTTGCCTTGGTTATTTGTAACCATATATAAAAGCATGGACTGAAAATTAACTAGAAATAAGATTTTGAGTTAGAAATAACAGTACATTGTTTTTAAGTTCTTAGCATTCATTTTTGGAGCTTAGTTTCCCATAATGGAAAAATAAACCTATAAAAATCATGCCAAGTTTAGAAGCTGAATAAATGCTTTCCATAGTACTATTCTTTGGTGGTCATCCTACTTTGGTTTCTGTTGCTGTGATAAGACTCTCCAAGGGAAAAAAAGCAACGTGGGGAGGAAAGGGTTATTTCACCCTAGAACTAGATCAAATCCATCCCTGAGGGAGCTTGGAGGAATTCATGTCATAAACCTGGAGGCAGGACTGAAGAAGGGGCATGGAAGATGCTGCTTATTGACTTACTCCCTGGTTTGCTTAGCGACTTTTCTTACACGGTTTAGGCTGGGCCTCCCTACAGTGAGCTAGACCCTCATCAATACATGGTCTCAGGCTGATTTGATTGAGGCCGTTCCTCTATTTAGGTTACTTCTTCCCAGGTGTGTCAGGTTGACGACTGAGTTATTATAATATCATTTCTTCTTGTAAAAATGAAGGTTTTTGAGATAGTAGCTGAATAGTAGACCACCTCTTTATTGCTCTGTAACTACTGTGTTTTTTCACTTTGGTTTAAGTAAGTTATTGGTTGCTTCAGATTTAGAGATGAATAGAGGGCCCTGAATAGAATTTACTTAAGTATATGTTTTAGGTATACAGTATTTATAGTATGCTGATTAAAGTGAGTATCATGGAATTAAATTTAGAGGTGAGCTTAAAGTGCTAGCATAGTATTGTGTTAAACTAGAAATTTCTGGTCAGTATTAAGATACTTTGAGATTTGTATAAATCTTTTCCAAGTTGAAAGAGCATATGAAGAGGTATATATGTATTGGTAGCATTACAAGGCTTTCGTGGGTTTTTTCCTTCGTTTTTAAATTCTTTGACAGTTTTCGTATATGTACATAATGAATTTTAGCTGCCCCCTTTTAAGAGTTTCA